CCAGAAGGAGCACCTCCAAACATTGCTAGAGCTGGATTTGTTGGTGGCTTTCCTGGTGGCTGATTAGTGTTCATACCTGAAGGAGCACCTCCAAACATTGCTAGAGCTGGGTTGGTTGGTCGATTTGTTGGTGACTGATTAGTGTTCATACCTGACGGAAAACCATCGAGCGATGATGAAGGATTGTTTGATAAAGGTGTGACTGATTGATTTGGATTTCTACCAGGAGGAACACCACCGAACATTTGTGGAGGACGATTTGCTGGTGTAGGTATAGGGTTTATTACTGAAGCCCTTGGAATTGACTGAATAGTTGGAAAATTTGATTGTGATCGAGGACGTGAACCGAGACGTGAACCGAGACTACTATTGATGCTTGATAAAGAATTCCTAATATTATTAGGGCTTTTATTAGTGCGAGAAACAAGTGGAAAACCAGCCGATGAGCCTCGAAACTGAGCATTAGAAGGGCTCATTATATTAGGTGAAAAACTTGAGTTACTTGAATATGTATCTCCGCTGCGAGTAGTATTTTTTTGCTAGAAAAGATGTGACAATCAGAAAAGTTATTACTTTAAATGGATGTTATTTTTACCTGTTTTTTCGCTCGAGTTTGTTGTGGTACATTATAATTTCTTATACTATCAGTATTTTCATCATCATCTTCGTCCTTGAAAGATTATAATCATATATCGATTAAGTCACATACTTTGGCTTACTGTTTGAAATGGTGGCTTAGTAATAGTACCTGATGGAGGTTGATTTCTTGGAGTACTTGGAAATGAACCAGGAGGTAAAGCCTTAGGACTAAAAAAATTGTTGCATTTTTTTCCATACATGATGTGATAGATAAAGAAAACCTTGAATTATTACTCACTGTTTATCCTTTTTGAATGCATTTTTCATACGCTGAAAGACTGTACTCATCTTTGATATTAAGTAGTAATAGAAAAGAGGATATATATACAATTTTGTCTTGTGTGAGAAGAGTTGTTTATAATAGTATCCTAAATATAAAACAGAAATTAATACCAAACACTTTTCGAACATATTCACAACACTGAAATACGAAATAACACATGTGTCTAAGCAGAAGGACAACGATGATGAAAAGGAAAGAAAGAGAAAATATACGTGTTTGTGTTACTATCTATAATGAAGAACCACTCGTCCGTATCCAACCTGAATGACAATGAGTATGCTAACGATAAAGACATGATATGTAAATATTTATTTATTTTGAAGCACTTCGAAGTAATAATAATAACACCTAAGTTACTAATTCAAATCCTTATTTATGATGGGACGATAAATTTTCATTGATTTTGAACTTTTATATGTATTTATTAATAATAAAAAAAAAACATCAAGACTAGACAAGTTTCACATGATCATGATTTGTATCACAAAACCGTTTGTGTAAATTTTCGCCGTACACGTGCTACAATTAAACCGGTACAGCCAGCTACTGTAGCTATAAGACCAAGTGTAAGCAATGTTCGACATGAAAATAAATCATCAAAACTATTTAATTGTGAAAGGAATGAACCAGTTTGTACACTTATAAAAGTATATGGTGCCATGCCTAAATAGAGAAAAAAAACATGATTTTCTATAAATAACATTGTTTTTTTTTTGTTTTTTCCTTATACTAACCAAAGAGGATCGAAAAGAAAAATATTTTTTTTGGTACATTTAATAATGGACATGTTATTGTTATGAGTGCATTTGGACTCATTGGTACCATGCGCATAAAAAGTAAAACAAAAAAGAGATTATCACGACCAGCTTCAACCTTTTGATAATGAAAAATAAACAAGAAAAAAATTTTTGAAATGTTTTTTTTTGGTATATTAAATAATTTTTTACTTTTTTTTGTAGTACAAGTATTTTTTTATGGCAACATTGCACAACTAAATTACGAGCAAAATTAGAAACAAGTAAGTAACAGAAACAAGCACCAATTGCTGTTAATAAACAACAAAGTGGAAAGCCTATCCATATACCGAATAAGGCACCACCAAGTAAATTCTATAGTATATAGAAAAAAAACGATAGATATTCATTAAAAAATAGATGTAATTAAATAAATATACCAGAATAGCTGAACCTGGTAATGAAAAAGATTGCTTGTATAAATAAGCAGAACCATACAGTAATAAAAGATACGCTAAATGATCGTCACGATAATGTTGTAAGGTAGTTGATAAGTTCTTCAAGGCTTCGATACTTCGTGGAAAATGAAAAGAAGTTCTAAATAAAGAATACCAAAAATGAGAAGCTTTCATTAAATTTTATGGTGAATCTGAATTGTTTGATACTTCAATATTCTTCGTTAATTTATTAGAAAAAAAAAACATCTCAACGGAGCTCTTTCTGAGCTAAAATGTGAAAGTTACTTGTGTTCTTTAGCTTTATTATACTAATATAAAATACATAAAGTGAAAAACCTTTAGCAGACAATGATTACTTTCTAAGGATAGTCAGTCTATCATCAATGAAAGGATCTGTTTTATTTATTTCTGCATTTCGAAAGGAATTTTTTTCTTTTTTTACTGGTGCTCTATTTTTTGGTCTTTTTTAATTATCCCTCAAAGTGATAACTTGATCAATTCACGCTTTTTATGTTGATCATATGGTAACTGTAACAAATCAATACATCACTACCCAACATCTGTGACATCTCGAATATAAATGTTTATCTGTGCAAAAATAACAAGCAGAGCCTACAATATTTCAAATATTCAAAAGTGTATTCCAATCAGTCAAATTTCAAGAAAGGATTTGAATTGTTCTGAAAGAATCTAAGGCTTCTTGTTAATGCCGTTCAGCGCTTTTCCCCATTATGATGGAACTCCATGACAGGAATCTGAATTCTGTTGTCCTTAGTTGCTAAGAAAACGTACTTAATGATCCCTGACCTTTATCCGAATTACTTGAGTCGAAGGAGACAGAAAGAGCAAAAACCTTGATTTAGATATACAGTCATTAGTTCCTTCAAAAATATAAATTAGTATCCAATCTAAGATTCGAGTTTGAACTTATCCAAACTTGGATAAAAAAAAAAAGTTGAGATCAAAATTCATATTTGATTTTGGAATTGTTGTTGGATTCAGAACTTTTTATTTATGAGGTAGAAGAAATTTATAGAATTTCCTATTTTAATACTTAGTTCAAAAGCCAGAGTTAGATCGAACAAGTTTTAAGACGTTTAATCTGTAAATAGAAACTGAACAGAAGTTTTATATTAAAACTATTCAAATCATCATCGCGTTGTATTTCATCAAAAAGAAAATCCAAAATACAACATCAATTCCAAAATGGAAATTAAGTCTTGATTTCAGGCGTTTGCTCGATCTACGTTTGGACTAGTTCAAATTCGAATCTTAAATTTGATGCTGGCATATAAGTGAATTTCACAAAAATAATTTAAAATGATAGTATATTACAAACTGTATGCCACAATATTCTTATTCATCATGTTTACATTCGTAAATAACTCTCCATATTCTTCAAGTCGTTTTCTATGCATATAAACATATTCGAAAACTCTTTTAAAACCATAGATCACTATTTGGGAGATGCTGTAGTGGACTAGCACCCACTTTGTCATTGCGTCTGTAAAAGCTGTCTAGGAAATTTGAGAAGGTAGCGTGTCTCAATTACTTTCTACTAGATGGAGTGCCTCCGATTATCTGTTAATTTCTTTGTCTTTGCCACTTCTAAAAACTATCGGGAGTTTTGATTAGAACAGAAACCTGATACCATTTGCCAAAATACAACTTATTTGAAATTTTTAGTTTCTAACAATAAGAAACTAGGAAATGGGAAATCAGAATAGTTCACATTCGGATAGAAATTACAGAAATATGAAAATTTCGCATGCGTCAGTTCTCAAGACTTCTAGATGAATTAGTAACAAAATAAAAATATGAGTCAATACAAATATAGTTTACCTATCACTTTCTTTATCTAATGGTGGTGCATTTGTAGATAAAATATACATATAAAAAGTTGCTAATGCAAATATTAATGGAATGAACCAAACAGTAAAAGAACTCTCTAAAAAAAAACTTCTAAATATATATTTATATAAATATATATGTAAATTCATTCATACTCATAAAATGTAATGATGATTTTGTTGATGATGAAGGCATTGATGTTGATGATACTATAGATGATGAATCAATACCAATCGATGTTTGTCGTGGAATTAATTCCATTTCAAGTTCAGAATCATGTTGTTGTCTCATGATTTATAAATATATTAAAGTAAAATTCAAAGCTAATAAATAATATTTTCACTTCTTCTTTTTTTCACATTGATGATACTAAAATATTTATATTTAAATATAAATAAGTAAAAAACAAGACGAAAAAGAATAAAACTCGATTAACAAATTTGTTTTTTGTTTCGTATACTTTCAGATATTTTTATTTTTGTATAAATGCCACATATCCTGTGTTCAGTTTGTATGTGTTTTTATATTGTTCTATTGCACACAGTCAGATAGTGTAAATATGAATGACTATCACTGTTTTTTACAAAACCAAGAAAAAAAAAGAGAGAATTAGATATATATATATATATTAGTGAAAACAAAGCATGCAAAAGAAAAAAGAAAAAACAACGGAAAATATCTGAACTTTGTTTTTCAAGAGATTCGTTCATAAACAATGACCAGACAAAAGAGAAATCTGACATAGTTTTTTTTTTGTTTGTAGAATATGTATATATATATGTATGTATTTATTTTACAGGTCAATAATAGGAAGATTATCTTCTTGAGAATAGAAAGTAGACGATGGCAGAGTTGTGGCAGTTGATAGAAGTCCGTTTGACGGTGAATAATTAGCGACCGAATAGGAAGATGTAGATATTTGTTGTGGTTGCTGTTGTGGTTGTGGAGGTGGTTGTTGATAGAATGATGATGAAGTTTGATAAGAATAATTTTGAATACCATAGATATTTGAATGTTGTTGGGAATGATGATTATAACCAGACATGGCTATCTGTTGTACAGGTGAATAACACATTGGTTGATAGTATGAAGTCTAAATTAATAACAATTCAAAAAAATATGTATACATAAAATTTAGATTCGTATTTTAAAGATTGGTCCAAATTTAATTTGTTTTTTGTGTGTAAATTGAAAACAAAAGAAAAAAAAATCAAATTCTTGATTAATTCTATGATCATCGAAGATTCAATACTTGTCGGATTTATCAAATACTGTAAAGAAGGAAAAACAAAACTTGAAATTCTAAACGTGTTTTTTATAATATTGAGCTGATACTTTAGGAGCATGCACATACAACAATAAATCTTGATCACAAGCATCAGTCCATATTCCATTGGCTCACATGTACTACAGTTATCTTTCACCTATCTTCTTCGTTCTATGAAAAACATTTAGCGAACACATGTACACAAAATGTTTTTGTTTGCTATTTTACTATTTTACAGTTACAAGTATTTTTTTTCTAGTGCTAATTAGTATGTCCTAAAACACGGAACACATATAATAGTGCTAACTTGATTTCATTCAGGACTATGACTGTAAAACTTTGAGCAAAACCTTATAGTCTTATGGGAATTTTTTTCAAATGCATTGGTCTAAGTCATCATGCAAAAGATTCATCTTAAAGATGAAAACAGACTAAACATATCGACCATATGCACCTTTTGAATAAACGTTTGGATAAAAAAAAGTCGCGACAACCTGGTTGAAATTCGGTAAGCACAAGAAGGCAAGTATGTCTGAATCATATTTCAGTAAGTTACATGTAAATCGATAGAGGGCAGGTTGATGCTTGCAATCAGGATTTATTGTTATATGCAAGCACTCAAAATATTGACATAATATAATAGTACTTCATGGGCGACAGCTACTTTTGTCCATGACTGTTAATGTGGGTGCATGGAATGAGTTGATAATAAAGATATAAGACAAAGAGTAACTGATTATTTAAACATATAGATATTCTTCTATCAAAAATCATGATTTTGAATATCAATAAATAGGATTTTTATCTGAGCTTACAGAATTAAATAATCAAAACGCATTGAATATGATTAAAATCTTTATCGAATTTATTCTACTTACAGAATTTATATTTGTATCATTGTCTGATGAAATTTGTGTTTGTTGATAATATTGTCTTGTTGAATTATTATTATTATTATTATTATTATATGGATAATTTGGATATGATGATGTTAACTGTTGTTGCTGTTGTTGTTGTTGTTGTTGATTATACATAATTCTTTGCTGATGTTGAACAGCCATTTGTTTTAATGTTTGTGCCGCAGCAACTGGTGGTGTTGGTCGATTTGTAACAGGCATTGAATGTGGACTATAATGTATAGTACTTGAACCGCGTGTTATTGAATTTCTACGTCGATCTGTTGATATTGTTGAAGATGTTTGTGTTGGTAATGATAATGATGAATGTCGTTTTGAAATATTATCTTGTTCTTGTGATGATGACGCTGATGATGATGATGGTAAATCATCGAATGATGATAAAAATAAATAATCATCAGTTTTTTGTTTTATAGTATTAAGAAATTCATCAAATAGATCACGATCAGCTGGTGTTATATCTTGTACAACACGTTGAAAATCAGCTTCACTCAATAAATCATTATTTGATATTTTCATTTGTTGTTTTGGTGTTGATTTTATATTTATTGTTGAACTAACTGTTATATCACTTGTTGTTAATTGTTGTATATTAAATTCTTGAATTATTTTTGTTGTTTGTTGATAATTTGTTAATGTATTATTATTAGTATTAGAATTTGAATTTGAATTTACTGTTAATGTTGGTGAATGACAACGAAATGATTTTGTTGATTGTTCATGTTCAATATCAAATGAATAAAAATGTTCACCATCATCAACATTACCAAGTTTTCGTTTTGGATTTGATGAAGTCTATAGACATAAAAAAGAAATTAAAAACAAAAAGTAATATACATAAAAATAAGAAGAAACAATCGAATTTGTAATCACCTGTTCTATGGATTCCATTTTAGATGTCATGTCAAAAATAAAAAATAAAAAAACTAGATGAATAATATTATATAGTATTATTAACTCTTGTTTCTTTTTTGTTTTTATTTCCTTATTTCCATTTCGAGGGTATGAGTACGTGCCAAAACTAATAAAACTGAACTCACCAACGGCCTGGCCGTTGATGCAAGGTCACTTAGCCCATACGCTTCATTCATTTATTTATTCAAAAATAGATATTATATAAATAAAATATAATTTTTGCCAACATATGGACACGATTAGCCGATCAACGTTATCATTTTATAAAAGTGACAAATGTAGTAGTGATTATCTCGATGAATGTATACGTGTGTTCTGTTCTTGAGATGATGCCCAATAATCAACAATAGCCAGAATAGTGTGCCCGATCGATGTGTATGTGCAAGAGTTCTTTGCTCGTTCGTATTACCTTTTCTTTTTTCCCCTCTTCTTTTCTCTGTCGTTCTTTGCCCGTTCATTTTTACTCGTCGTTCGTTGTTCATGTCAAAATGGCCTTGGAGCTGCTCAAATATATACATACGCAAAGAAAGAGAGAAAAAGTACAAGCAGTCTCCTCTCTTTCTTTCCCATTCCTTTTCGCGTAACAGTTCAGTCGTATATGTGTATACTTGCGCACGATCAATGAATGGATATAACATCACATACAAATACATGCACATACACACATACATCATCAAGAGAAAAGAAGCAAAGTTGAGGCCAGAACAAAAAACTTGCTCTAATTTCTTTTTCTCTTTCCCTCCTCTTTTTTTTTTGTTGTTCTATATATCAAGAATAATGACCACAATTTTTCATTGTCTCTTCCCTAACTTCTCTTTCGGACAGATTAATAGAACAAAAGAAGAAAAATAGAAAAAAAAAGAATGACCTAGTTCAACTAAGAGAGAATAGAATTCAGTCAGTACTTTTTGTATACATTGAAAACTAATATTGTCGTCTGGAATATATCATTTCTAAATTTATACACAAAGTCTTCATGCAAATATTAGATGAATTGATTTTTTGTTTTGTACATGATTATGTGAAATATAAATATAGAGTGAGAAAAAAAATATTGTTAAGTCTGTTAAGATGATTATCTTGATGTTTTAATTAAAAATCAAATCAGATTTGAACATTAATACTGCATATAAGAATAGAATTTTTCTTAACAGAGATAAACTTTTAAAAAAAGTCTATATAAGAAAATAGGATAAAAACTCAGAAAGCTAACCTTTCGTCAAGCTCTAACTTGTATAACACAGTATCCTTAATTCTTACATGATTGAAATTAATAATAAGACATCATTTTAGATCTAGTGGGTATTAGAACACATGCGAAGGAATTGAATTATTAGTTCTTTCTTTTTTTTTTCAAAATAACATTAAGCAGAATCGACACGGATAGGAAAAAAAAATCAAATGAACTATGAATACCTTACAAATAGTTTAGGTCCTTAGGTTATTACTAATGAGAGATTCCATTTTTACATTAGTTTTTAACTTAATGTCATGATAGCAGAAAGGCTGATTTTCGATTTTTGATTTGAAACCTTGCACAGAGACAGTTCTTAGTGAGAACAGTTTCTTGTGAATGCTTTAATTCTTATCATTGTGTCTATCCTAAGACATAGCTATGGTAAAAGTGTTTCATTTACGTCTCTCACATATTATGGTACATTCGATGTTCTTGTTTCAGGATAGAGGTAAATCAAAAGATCTGCAGCTTTGACAATAAACGATTCTCATGAAGGTCTAATTCTGTACAAAATTTCAAGTCAAAATTCGAAAATCAGTTGCCCTGATGTTCTTGCAAGAGATTACGGCATTCATCCAAAAATGACGGTCAATTGGCAGTAATCTATGCAACAACAAGCTAAGAGCGCGAATTCTTTTCAGTATATTTGAAAAATCATTTGGGTCTAGATATTGCAAAACGTACCAACAGAATAGAGCGTATGATCGGTTGAGAAACTTCTCTGATTAGTAAAAGTTAAATATCTAAAAAGACTGTAGGTTATTTAGATTTTTTTAAAATAATAATTAACCTTTAATACATCACATTGAAGTCGTACATAATAAGCCTCTACTATTCAGAAATATTTATATTTCGGGAAAGAGAATAATTGCATTGAATCATCAACTAAATTCAAGAATAGATATATGTTTTAAGGCTTCCGCTCCTTCAAGAAAATACATTTTCGTCAGGTTATCCGAAATTAAGATATATTCATGGGAAACGATAATTGAAAATCGAATCCGTCACAAGCTATATGGTTTTGTATTTAGCACTTGGTTTTTCCGAGAATTTTCGATGGTTTTCACACATTTCTGCTAGAAAACGTTTTTTATTCGTGAAAATGGGAAATCTTTTTTCGTTTTTTTGTGTACTTATGTTATCCTGATTGCAAATCTCAGAATTCTCAGACGGAATTTGTTCTATATAGTTTTTTTTATTTGAGAGAACATGTAAAAGTGCAGTGCTAGATAGAGCCCATCTTTTGAGTTGTACTCTTTTATTCTTATATTAAAATGCACATTTACAAATTGATGACCATTTTTTGAGAGTTCTTTGGAGGTCTTGAACTTGTCATCTTTTTCTTTGTTCTCATAAAAAGTAACAATTTAATTAAAAAATTGCTGTCAGTCACTATAGTCTGACATGCGATTTCAAATTAAAAAATATAGAATAAGGATCTACAAAGAATCTTGACTTGTCATATGAGTTATTTTTGACCGTAGTTTGATGAATATTTTCTGAAAAGATCATGGTATAGAGCTGCAAGTTCTAGGCAATTTGAATAAATCTGATCCAAGATCGAATTTTCAAGAGAAGGTGAAGACGTTAAAGTAAGAAGAAAAACCTACAGTCTTATTCAATTTTATAATAAGCCTTTAAAAAATTTTTATTTGGAACTTACCTCAAAAAAAAATAAAATTTTGTTAATTTTTGTTCATCAATATTCAATATAATCCAAGAACGAAATGATAATTAAACAACAATTCATTACACAAGTACAGGAAATGATTTATTATTAAAATTGAATAAACAAAATAATAGCTTTAATCATATTGTTTCACTACAATGGATACATATAGAAAATACTATTGGTAAATAATAACTTTCTTCTCATCTTTGTGAATTAAATACTAGTATATTTTCGTTTGTAATAACACAATTGGTTAAGATTAACATTATCATTTAATAACAGAATGATATATTCTCATATTAACAAATTTAATTATTAAATAAAAATTATATATTTATAATCGTCCACTCTTCTTGCCTTTCAAATGTAAAGGAATTGGATTGGTTTTTATATTTATCCATTTGAAAACTTTGGCAAAACAATTCTAGCGCTCTCTATCTCAAAATACTATATCAACTTTTTTATAAGCAAAATATACTTCTATATAATAGAATAAAATATAAAATAAAAATTTTCATAAATAAAAAAAAGAAATATATCTAGAGAACATTCTCCACATTTTTTTCCTTAGTAACCAAACAAAATCTTTAATCATAATGGCAACTATTCTCAAAAAATCTCGATTCATTTTCTCGAAATATATTCTTGTTCATCATTTTCATTACAAAAATGCTAACTGAAACAATTGAATCAACTGTTAATAAAATGCTTGTTCCAGCACAATTAACACCATCGTCATCGAATAAAACTGAAGAACAACAAAAAAAAGATGATTTACGTTATCCTCGAATGACAAAAGAATTTATTAAAAAACATTGCAAAGAACATAAATTATATCAAACACCATATTTAAATGATGTTCTCTATTTACATTTTAAAGGTTTTGGTCGTATTGAAAATTTAGAAGAATATGTTGGATTAAAATGTCTTTGGCTTGAATCAAATGGTATACAACGTATTGAAAATCTTGATCAACAATTAGAATTACGTTGTCTTTATTTACATCAAAATTTAATAAGTAAAATTGAAAATTTAGATCATTTACAATATTTGGATACAATTAATTTATCAAATAATTATATAACTAAAATTGAAAATTTATGTAAGTTAAAATCAAAATACATATAAATATTTTGTTTGAATATTAAAATTTTATTTTTAATTTATAGCGGCTTTACCAAAATTAAATTCACTTTATTTATCACATAATAAACTTGAAACAGTTGAAGATATTGAACATTTAAAAGAATGTAAAAGTTTAAGTGTCGTGGATTTATCACATAATTTAATTGAAGATCCTGATGCTGTAGAAGTTTTTAGTCAAATGCAAAGTGTAGTAAGTTATTTTACAAAAATTTCATGTATATATGTTTTGGTCAATGTTGAAATTTTTTTTTTGATGAACAAAGAAAGTTAAAATTTTGATAAGACTAGTTATAGGTGAGAACGGGTTCTCTATTCCATCCATAGTAGAATTCATCGGGTTAGTACTAGATTCATTTGGGAGCCAGGTGTGAAAATTTTGGACCCAATGAACTCTAGTCGTCTTCGAAATATGTAGAGTGCACTAATCATTAAATACAAAAAAAAATATCTCGTATTTTCAGAGCGACTATTCGATTTCGATTAGAAAATTTCATTGAGAGTATCAAAGTACGGTTTTATCATGTCTAGGTCTGGTCTGAGTCCTCAGAAAACAGACTTGCGGCTTTCTGCATTGTTGTATAGGAGATATTCTTGCTTCATCTCGTATATATACATACAAGTAAAGCTATCCCGTACAACTGAAGAATTTGTTAATCAATTCCTTTTTTTTCGTTGACATAATGTTTTTTTTGGACTAAGTGAAAACTTTTAATTTAATTTGTATCACCTGGTGAAAAAGTGAACAACTAAAGTCTTGATCCTTCACTTGTTCGTGTACACAGAGAGTGCTAGATATTGGTAGAGAAAAGCTCGGGTTCAGATTCGCCAATACTCTTCATATAATATCTATTAATAAATTTTGTAAAGTAAAAAAAAATATCTTTCTACTTAAATCATTTGTCTTTCTGTACTTTTTCGTATTCATCAAAAAAT